GTGTGTGTGTGTGTGTGTGTGTGTGTGTGTGTGTGTGTGTGTGTGTTCCCCTGCCACTCTTGTGTTATAGAATTTTTTTATTACAAGGAGGTGAAGAAACCTGGGTTCTTCCCAGGGCGGGGAGTGGTTGAGCTGTGGTCACGAGCAGGCTTGTCCCGGCTTAGCTGTGCCCTCTTCACACTCAAACAGCAGCAGCCACAGAATTTGCAGAGCCTACATTTTTTTTTTTTCTTTTTTCAGATATCTCCACAGGGCCTTCTTGGTTAAATCAGGGACTACTTTTGAACTCTACCCAATCAGTTTCAAATTTAGACCTGCCCACTGGTGCCACCTTACCCCAGTCAAGGTACGTACTTTTCAAGGTCAGGAAGGCAGGCCGGAGCACATGGCCCTGCTCACCTCTCAGGGCCAGAGTGATCAGGGCATATGGTGAGCAGGGCCATGTGCTGCCTGCACAGGTCCTCGGGGGTGTGGCAGGCTTCACCTGGGGCAGCTCCTTCCTGTGTGCTTTTTCCCATGTTGTACATAAACTGTCTGCCGCATTAACTACCCTGTGTGTGTTTCTGCTGTTCGATAGCGTAAACCAGGGGTTGTGCCTGGATGCTGAAGTGGCCTTAGCAACTGGGCAGTTCCTTGCCCCAAACAGTCACCAGTCCAGCAGTGCGGCCTCCCACTGCTCCGAGTCCCGCGGAGAGACCCCCTGCTCGTTCAACGATGAAGACGAGGAAGATGACGAGGAGGACTCCTCCTCCCCAGAATAAAGACAGGAGAGAACTCACGTTCCCACATTGATGCTCGTGTGTGTTAGTGTGAGCTCTTGTTTTGAGATGATTTCTTCAGTCTTTGCCTTTGTTTGCACCGTGTGTTCAGTGAGAACTAGAGAAACACAGCCAGCAAGTTACTCGAAGGCTGAGAGGATTGGAATGTTAACATAGTGTGAGTGAGAACTGGCCACGGCACTAGGTCCCACCCGCACAAAGCGCCTTTCCTGAGAGGGGGTATGATCCCCAGAACAGGCCCAGGAACAGGCACGTCTCCGGGAGGCCGGCTCTCTGTGGCACCCTCACCTGCGTAATCATTTTAGAATTGAGGTTGCTACAAGGAGCAGCCCCAGTGACCATGTCTCTCCCCCTTCCTGGGCTGCCTCTGACAGGCAGACACGAACACGCAAGTGCCGGTGGGGGTGGAGATCGAAGTCCTGGTGGCCCAGGAGCACAGGTTAACTGCTGAACTAGTTGGGAGTTTAGTTGAGGTGCTTTTATGCATCTGCTGCCTTAGACAGCTTCTAGAAAGGAGCAAGCGCTCGTTCTGAAGTACTTAAATGACATTTAGAATAATTTATAGCAAAACCGAAATTACCATTAGCCAATGCGTCGGTGCATAGGATTTCCTAGGCTACTTCTGGAAGCCAAACTAGAATAGCATTTCCATGTGCATTAACCACTCTGCCAGCACTGCCTTCTGCCAGCATTCTAAACCTGGGGTTCCACAGAGAAGGAAACTGTATCATTTTACTCAAAGCTGTGCATTTCATACAGCTTTTTCATTTATAATGAAAGAAAGAAGCAAATTCCTATGACCAAGTTGCTTGCCTACCGCTCTCTGCAGTCATTGTATGATCTCACCCAGTGTGCAATTTGTGAAAATGAACCAAATGTCATTAATTTTGCCTTGAAAGAAAAGTCTGTTTCAAGAATATGAACAACAATGTTTTCTTGTACATGTGACCTTTTTTCACATTTTAATTAATCAAAATGACCTTACTAGATTGGTTCCTGGGTAATTTGCCCTTCAAACTAACCCAATATTTCTGTGCAAATGTTGAACGCTGCAGTTGTCAGATGCATGGTAGCGAGGAGCGTAGGATGGGATTTCATAGCCAAAGGTGCATCCACTTCTCCGAGTGAAGAGTGTGCGAGGCCATACCCCCAACCTAATTACACAAAGAATAGTAGAACTAACTCTTGAACACAGGGATTTGTCCTGGCGTTGTGCACCTAGCACGAAATGTGGCCCAGGTGGGCTCGTTCCTTAATCCTAGAGGGCAAGTGCAGGCTCCCAACATGCCTTTCTACAGCTCCACCACCAAGCTCACAGGGAGCTGGAGCTGAGAGCTATGGTTGGCTAGTTTTTTGTTGTTTTTTTTTAAACTAAGACCTTAAACACTGAAAGGCAAGAACATACAACTTTAGCTTAGGCTCCTTTGAGATGAAACCCTCATTCTGATAGCACTAAGCTGTAGTGCAAACCCAGAGTATCCAAAGGGCAGGAGGCCTTGGCAGGTGCAGGGGCTTCTGCCTTGGCATGAGCTGGGCAGCACAACGAGAGCATCTCCCAGGAGCATCCGGGAAGTGCCAGGCCTGCGGGGGCCTTCTGACTGGAAGGCCTTCACCTGACAGATAAGTGACCTGCGGTGTCCCTCCACAACATCCGTGAAGGGGGTGCCTCTTTCTCTACTAACCCCCACCTTTCTCCTCTCCCTACTGGAAGGAAAGGGGGCCCAGCAGGGACCTGGACAGACCAAGGGCCACAGTTAGCTTTTTAGTGTTCAAAATGTTGAAATGCAGGTTCCATAGACAGTCAGACATTGGAGACGGATCCATGAATCATTCTCATTCCTTTGCCAGACAGCAGCATTCCCCCAGAGTCCTTGAGAAACCATTTCCTTCTCTCCTGTCTCCGTTGCTGAAGTGCTTTAACATAAAGTACAGGCTTAAAAAAGGCAACTGAAGACCATCATCCTCTTTGTCCATCACTGGCTGTCCTGGCCATGTGTGGTGCTGGCAGGGAAGGTCCCAGTTCTGCTCCTTAGGGATGCATTTGGGGCACTGCTGAGGACATGTCGCAGAGTGGTGCCGTGGTACCAGTACACTCTGACGTGAGGCTCCCCTACCCCCAAGGGTCACTGTCTTCTCAAGGGTACAGTGACATTCAGTTAGGAACTGTGCTCCATGGAATACATGCAGCTGGCTCTAGGAGACCCTTTGTGGGAGGAGCCTCGCTGCCAGGGAACACGGTGCCCTTCAGGGTGCCCTTCGCCATCCCCACTGTAGGTGTCTTCCATCCACATGCTCTTTGTGTGGGGAAAGCAGTTTCAGGAAGTTCATGTATGTTGTACCTTATGATTGTGGAGGGCTTTGGAAAGGGGGCAGGAAACGAGGGGCCCCCTAGACCTCAGAAGTGCCCATTGCCCTAGAAAATCAGGGGTGGAGGACATAAGTTTTAAGTTCTTCCATTTGAGTCTTTAAAGAAGCAAGGGTCGGGAGGTTCCTATGTAGCTTCTGCGATTTTACCAGGATGGGCGGGGAGAGCACCTCCTGTTGGTAGAACTTGTCATAACAGGACTCTGCCTTATTTGAAAAATAAAGCCAGGACCTGACCCCAAAAAGAAAGTGGCCCTTGTCAGATAATCCACATAGAGACTTCAGGAAGGAGGGGCTCCCTGCAGCCCCACAGCCATCTGTGATTACGCTCTTTGCTAAATCAAAGCTCTTTGGGGCTTCTTAGGTCACAGAGACAGCACAGTATGTGTCTTAGGCCCTTGGGACACTGTGTGTGTGTGTGTGTGTGTTTGTGTGTGTGTGTGTGTTGGGGGCTAGCTGACGATGGGAACTGCCTCAGCTGGTTCAGACATAACCACACCAAGAGAGAGCAGTCAATTTAGTTCTGTTGAGTTTTGTAAATGATTCATTTCAAGGGCTTTTATACTCAAGCTCCCTCTCTAACATACAAGGGTTGTCTCTAGTCAATAAATCTGTGACAAAGACCTTAAAACTGTGCTGCCTTGGTGGTAAGTATGGGGCAGGGTTTGTTCCTCCCCCACAAAAGATTTAAAAGAATACTAACCTTAGCTCTCAGCAGTGTCCATAACCAGGAGTCACATAGACTCACAGGCTCTCTTGGCCTCCCTGCCTTCTTGTTTGCCCTCACAACCAGGCCTTAGAGAGGGAGAGCGTCTCTGCATGTTCTCTGAGTCCTTAGATGTACAGAGACCTAACATTTCACGCTGGAGACAGGAGAGAGAGCCTCATCCAGCATGTGGGCTGGCTCTGGTGACAGGGAGGACTGGACACCTGAGAACTGGCTTCCCAGTGAGGTTCCCCGTTTTTATGCACCAAAGCCGTGTCAAGCACTGATTGGTCACCAATATGTATTTTTTTGAAGAACCAGTGTGTTTAAGGAGTCCCCACCACGCCATTTGAATGACTCAGAAATGTGCCTTTCTGCCCCCAACTCAGAGTTGATACTGTGTTCTGTTAACTCCACTTAAGCCGAACACTCACAGGAAAAGCCTGATGTTTGCTAAGGATTTTACTTTTCTAAACAAATTTTTTCAAGCAAAATGCCCACAAAAATTAAAACATTCTCAGGAAAATAGCCCTTTTTATAACCAAAATATCTCTGAAAAGTTAAGCTTAGTCTGTGGTTTTCCCGCGTACTCTAATGGTCACAATATACTAAGGAAAACCCTGGGTAAGGGGGCCACAAAGCTAGCCCTTCACCAGTGTTGGGACGGGAGGGAGACTGACCATGCGGCTGGCCTTTCTAACACGGCCAGCTCTTGTACTGCTCTCATCTGGCCTTTGCTTTACCATCCCTCAGTCCTGCAGGACTGAGGCTGTTGGGACCCTGTTGCAGCCGAGGGTAACCGGGCCTCCCTGCTCTAGCTGAAGTGCAGGGTTTGGACGATGGGAGTGAACACCCCAGCCTGCTCATGTGGGGACAGGAACACCGAGCACTCAGCTTGCCCGTGTCCCTCAGCCTCAGTGCGATCTCACAAAACCCCTGGCTGCCACTTTCTTCCCTGAAGGGTCCTTGCCTTCACTGCAGTCCTTCCAGAGGGCTCTGGATTAGCTTCAGTCCTGTGTCACCAAGTGCCAAGGAGCAGAAGTGAGACCTCCCCCAGCCCAGCATGCACTGTGAGCTTGGGGTCTCTGACTCGGGCCCAGAGTTGGCAGTGGCAGCCAGGGAGAGGCGTTCCCCCAAGGAGACCCTCCAGGCCGGGCCGTGGTGGGGCCTGGGGTAAAGCTGCCAGCTGAGCCTCTGGGCCACTGGTTTCTTTCCATCCCATCTGTCACAGCAGTGTGAGGCTATCTCCCCACCCCGATCATGTTTGGGTTTTAAAAGCCGCCCCTCATCCTGGTCCCCATGCCAGGCATTATTAATTACAAATGGCCTGATAATGTAGCTTGTTCAGACCGGAGGCAGATCATCCTGAGGTCTCTTGATCTGGCAGCTTTCCTAAGATGTGTCTCTGGGCAAGCTGCGGCTCTATTTCATCCACTCATACCAAGAAGGTTCATCCCTCCGGTGTCCTGAGAAGTGGACCAACCAGGTGACCCAGTGCAGTGCTGCCCAGGAGGTCTGGGCTTCAGGGACTGTCCCAATACCTGGTTCCTCCACGTGATTTGTTGTCAACATACATGACCTTGGACCTTGACTCTGAACCCAAATCACCTTTTCTTCACCCTTTAATTTGAAGATGCTTTGTTCTGATCATGTGCTATTAGGTTTTATTCCCAGAAAAATATGGTTCTGCTTTTTTCTGCATGAAGGATATACCATGGTGCCACACGCTTAAGAAATGAGGCCACATCTGATTTGCTATGTGTAGATGCTCCTGTAGAGTGAAGTACCTAACCCGATATGGTATATTATTTTGTAGTATCTCAAAGTTTGTAAATAAATACCCTTATTTTTATATGGAAATTTTATAGAAGAGCTATTTCTGTATACATAATTATTCCTGGGTTTTCTGAAATTGCTTCAGCTAGGCAACCAACAAGTCCTAAGCATCTTGAACCCCCCAAGCATCACCTGCAGCGGAACTGACCGAGGGGTTGCACAATGTTGCCTTCCCAGGACCCACTGGCCGCAGTCTCCGAGGTGGGCCTAGGAAGTGATATTTTTAATAAGCTGACTGATGTTTCTGTCATTTCAAGTGTGATTACTTTCTCCATCCTGTAAGATTAAAAGAAGAAACTTACACTCTAAATGAGTATAAGTTGCGCTTGAGAAAAAAATGTATCAGACTGTTTTATGATTTGAGATGTATTATAGAAAATAAATAATTTAAAATAATTCTGGTCTCATTTGTAGTGACGAAGTGGTGGTGCTGGTGCTCTGCCTGGACCCTCCCTGTTAATCCCTGGGATCTTCTTTTCCTAGCTGGGTCCCTTCAGTGACGGTACATGGGCAGCCAGTGAGATCCAAGGGCTCAGTCTCCTCGCCTCATTCTGGGTGGTCTGATGGGCCACCCTGGTGTCAAGGTCCCTGTGGAATTGGCTGAGACTCTGCCTACAGCTTCAGCTGCACTAGGGATCTTTCCTGGCTACTCCGTGGGGTCCCCAGATGCTCAGTGCGTGCCACTGGCACTACCTGTGAGCAGAAGGCACACGAGAGTTTAAAAAGTTGTTCTCATATCCGTGACTTCTGTCTTCTCAAAGGTCACTTTAGAAGATAAAAAAAAAGATCATTTATTTATTTGTTCATTTTGGCACTGGGGATTGAGCCTAAACCACTCAGTCATATCCCCCGCCCCTTTTTAAATCTTATTTAGGGACAGGGTCCAGGGTCTGAGTTGCTTAGGGCCTCCTGAGCCACTGGATTAAGAATGACATCTTTAAATTCCCAGAAACCACTGGCCTGAATACAGTGTCCAGGAAAGGTGCTTTTCCATCCTGCAGCAGAGAGGAGCCCCAGTATGAAGACACTGCCATGCGGGATGTCACTGGGCCTTGGGAACCGTAGCCCCTCAACACCACTTGTTCCAGTAGTGTCCACCTGCCTCGAGGGGGCTGGAAGCCCAAGTAGCAGGCTCTCCTGCATGGCGGCCAGCTGGGCACGGGGACAGTCGGAAGGCACAGGAGGCCATGGTGCTCACCTGAGTTCAGGGTGGTAGTATGGACCCATGGCCCAGTGCTTCCCTCTTCCTAGGGCCTCCATGCTGAACTCCAGCTGATTTGTGTCCAACTCTGTTCCTTCTGTAGTAGCCACTTAGTGTCACTGGTTAAGGTGTCCAAGGACTCATGGGAGTAACTGTTGGGTCATGTGACTGTAAGAAAGTGCCTTTTGGGCTGGGGCTGGGGCTCAGTGGCAGAGAACTTGCCTCGCGTGTGTAAGGCACTGGGTTCGATCCTCAGCACCACAACAACTTAAAAAAAAACTATTTAAGAAAAATTTAAAAAAGGAAAGTGCCTTTGCTCCTGCAGTGGCTGTGTGGGGAGCCTGAATGACCACCAGGGTCACCACTGGACAGCACCCAGCTGCTAACGGGGACACCTGCAGAGCCCAGGGAGCTGCTTGATGAGCTGGGCAGGCTGAAGTGACAAAGCATCTCACAGCCCGATTGGCAGCCCTCTTGCTGTCTTTTTTCCCTGCTCTGAGATGAGCTGCGGAAGCTTTGTGCTTCTGCTCCCCTGAGTGCTCACTCCCTCGTGGAGCCTGTGCCCCAGACCCTCCCCACTTTCCTAGCCACTTGAGGAAGGCTCCATCTGTCCTTCCGGGGCTGATGGCCAGAGGCCTGGGAGCTCCTTCATCCCACTTTGAGAGGCCTTTCCTCTTGCAGAACTTGCTTTTGGGAAATTGCACGGAGATCCAGTGACATTCCGCGTGGCAGTGTCTTCATGACTGGGGCTCCTCTGCTGCAGGATGAGAAAGCACTTTCCCTGGACACTGTATTCAGGCTGGTGGTTTCTAGGAGTTTAAAGATGTCATTCTTAATCCCAGTGGCTCAGGAGGCCTAAGCAACTCAGACCCTGGGCCCTAAGATATAAAAAAGGGCAGGGGATGTGGCTCAGTGGTTAGGCGCCCCTGGGTTCAATCCCCAGTACACTGAGGTGGGAATCCTGCTGTCAGGATGGGGACCAACCCCATTGACCGAAGAGCAAAGCCACTTCTTCATGTTAATCACTTTACCTAAGTCACTTTGATGTGTTTGCCACTCAGGATGCAGTGACTATTGCTCAACCACATCTTTCTTCTGCCTACCTTGACGCACTAAGGCCCAGAGCTTTGTTTTTTCTTTTATGCCCTAAGCACTTGGCCATGGGTCTCAAAGCAGAACTCAGAACACGTCCATGGAACAGGTCATCTATGTAGGAATTATTTTAGGTTCTGCTAATTAATAACCCTTTTCCCCTACAGTACTGGGGGTTGGACCCGGGGCCTTGCCTGTGCTCAGCAAGCACCAGGCTACACCCCTGTCCCCACCTCCCACTTTTTTTCCAGCAAATGAAGGGTTATATCAGAGCTTCAACCTGAAAAAACAGAAAGCAGTTGTATAGGAATGTCTTTACCTCTGCTGTCCTCTGCCCTTTGCGACAGGTCACTAGCGTGGAGAAAGGCTTTTGTGCCATAGAACAGCGGTGGGCTGTTCTGAATGAAGGGCTCCAGTCTATCCTGCCACCATCTAAAAAGCAGACCCACCCTGTCCTTATGTGGTACCAAAATCCAGTTTATGAATCATTGTGACAGTGGAAGAAGGGCTGGGTGCGGGGGCACCCACCTGGCACTCCAGCAACCTGGGAGGCGGAGGCAGGAAGATCGAAACATCCAGGCTTTGGCAACTTAGCCAGGCTCCCTCTCAAAAAAAAAAACAAAACTGGGGGGAGTGGTGGGTAGTGAGGGGTGAGTAGCTCAGCGCTGGAGTGCACCTGGGTTCAGTCCTCGGTATCTCAAACAACAAAACAAAACCAGCGGAAGAGGGGAACAAGAGTGACAGATTTTGGTTTTTTTTAGTCATAAATGGACAGAATGACTTTATTTTTATGTGCTGCTGAGGATCATGCGCAGTGCCTCACACGTGCAAGGCAGGCGCTCTGCCACTGAGCCCCGAAGAGTGACAGGTTTTTATTTCAGTGAATGCTTTTGGAAATCATTTCTAAGAACAAAACCCAAGTGCTGTTGAAAGGCACAGGCTGTGAAGAGAGGCATGCCGCGTGACCAGGACCCCCATCCTCTCCAACGGGGCAGGCTGGGGCCAGGCACAGCTGCTGCCGGCAGCACCCACTGAGCTGCTGACTCAGAGCCTGGCAGCAGGGCAGAGGTGGCAGGCAGGCATCTGGAAGATCCCCTGGCTCCAGTCCTCACTGGGTCCTTAGGTAGACTCTGGGGAGAAGCCATCTTCAGAGTGTTGGTGGACACCACAGGCCTCAGGGCCTCTGAAAGCTCCCAATAAACTTAAAAAAAAAAAACTTTTATTTTTACATGCGGCTGAGGATCGAACCCAGGACCTTGCATGTGTGCGAGGTGAGCGCTCTACCACTGAGCCATAACCCCAGCCTCCCCCACCTCTTTTTTTTAAACCAGGATTGAACTCAGGGGCCCTTAACCACTGAGTCCCAGCCCTAGCCCTTTTTTATGTTTTTTTAGAGACAGAGTCTTGCTAAGTTGCTTAGGGCCTCGCTAAGTTGCTGAGGCTGGCTTTGAACTCTCAAACCTCCTGCCTGAGCCTCCTCAGCTGCTGGGAGTATAGGCCTGTGCCACCACACCTGGCTCCAATGAACATTTCTATATAAGGATCACCAACCAAGGGCAGCTGTCACCTCCCTGCTGGGCCTGTGACAGGAGACCTGTCTGACAGTGCAGGTTGAAGAAGACCTGGCCAGAGAAACAGCCAACAGAGGAGAGGGCTCCTCTGACCTCCTCTACACCTGAGTCCTTTCTGCAAGCCCCACGGGCAGAAGCACTGAGTGCAGGGTTGGCCAGAGGCAGGCACCCCTCCTAGTGGTCACAAGACAGTCTCAGAACAGATGGAGGAAGGGGTAAGGGGGGCACACGACATGACACTTATGGGCAGAATAAATACAGAAAGGCTGTGACACCGGACACCCTGCTGGCCCTGGGCAGCCGCCTTCAGCCAGCTTTGCTCCTTGGGTGCTGGGGGAGGGCGAGTCTGAAGCTCCCCGGCAGCTGCAGCAGTTGGTCCACAGGAGCAGGCTCCTTCTGTCATGGTTGGTTTAGGTTTTTGTTTGCAAGACTCAACAAATACCATCTGCTGCTCCGAGAGTCCCGGATTAGGTTAAACCACTGCTAGAAACCAGCGGACTGGGAAGACGGGTCATTAATCTACTCACTTGATGTCCTTAGTTGAGCGGCCTTTTGAGAAATTTTAGTTTTCTCTAAATATGTTACTTTATGTTGTATAAACCCCATAAAATAATCCCTGTGTGTGCCAGAATTCCAATTTTTCTCTAGGATTTTGTCATGTTCCTTAACTCCTCAGGTGACAGTCTGTTAGCTCTTGGTTTTCTTCTTTTGTGATGCTGGGGATGGAAACTGAGTTCTTGCTTGACCACGGAGTTACAGTCCTGCCCCGTTCGTTTTCCTTGAGGTCGCAGATTTACTGTCCCCTGCCCCCAAACACGTTGCAGGCGTCCTGGGGTTTCCGAAGGGCCCTGAACCTCTATAGCAGGGACACTTGCCTGGCAGGGGTGGAAGGAAAGGTCATAGCTGCCTGCAGGCTGCAGACATAGCAGGAATCTCAAGCTCACCCCCCAGTTCCAGGGAAGCAAGTGAAAATAACGTCTCAGCTGTTGGAAATTCTCTGAAACTATAATTGGGAATTGTTATACCCAGATTTTCTTCTCCGTAGAGTTTGAGGCCCGGGTCAGTACCTGGTATAAAGATTCTCAGTTCTTGTGGAATGAATAAGTGAACAACGTATTATTTAAAAGTATATGGACCTCTAGGCTCGGTGGCGCACCCCTGTACTCCCAGTGGCTCGGGAGGTCGAGGCGGAAGGATCAGCCTCAGTAACAGCAAGGCGCTAAGCAACTCAGTGAGACCCTGTCTCTAAATAAAATACAAAATAGGGCTGGGGACGTGGCTCAGTGGATGAGTGCCCCTGAGTTCAATCCCTAGTAGCAAAAAAATAAAAAAGAACATGGCCCTTGGGTTGGGGTTGCGGCTCAGTAGGTAGAGAGCTTGCCTAGGCCTTGGTTCAATCCCCAGTACAAAAAAAGTGTGTGGACCTTTGGTTGGTCTCAGATAATCAAGTCATGCCCTCACCTTTAGTGCGATGACTGGGCAGGTTTTGGAAATGTGGCCTTCTCTGATCCTCTGTCCTTGTTCCTGCCGGG